TTTATTTTTCTCACTTTAATAGATGAAAATAAACATGTGAGATGGGAAAATTTTCGTTTTCCATTTAGTTGCATTCTGCACACTAATAGTTGACGAATAATTGTGCACACATAGATATTCTCCTAAGAAAGCCAAAACCTCACTTTTATTTTTTAAATATTCAGGTTTGAGGTTTATTAACATTTTGGATTGACCAAGAGCACTGTAGTTTTTCAATAGTGAAATGAATCCTCAAAAATACAACTTGCCTACTAATTGTGCACACAGTGTACACCCAGTAATGATCCCATAATGTAATGTATCTATGCCCATTCCTGGCCCCCAATAAACAAACAATTTAACCCGCAGTAAGAAACTGGGTAAACAAATCTGTAAAATCAAACCCAGAACCCAGGATGGAGAGCGGTTGTGTCCTGAAAGCCTGAAGTGTTGCCACTGCGCATGTTGCATGCATTCTGGAAACCTGAAGTGAATTGCTACACCTGTGCAGACATCCTTGCTTCCAGCGTCGACCAATGGCATACATGGTTTACTTGTTATTTGGCAACCATTATGGGGGATAATGTTCGTTTACCAGTAAAGGTAAAAAGACCAGGAAATAATGCTGATCACGGGTAAAGAAAGTCAGGCCACAAAAAAGTTTTTTAAAAACCCCAGAAAACTAAAGAAGCATCTAACATATATGCTAATTGATGAGACAACTGCTCACCTCAAAGTGGATTACACCAATGCAGTAAGCAGAAAACGGCAAGATCAACTATACCCTTGGTTCTCAACTGGTGGGTCGTGACCCAAAAGTGGGTCGCGACCCCGTCTTCAGTGGGCTGAAGCAGAGACACCGGCACTCCAAATTTGCAAAATACGTCTATTTATTGACGTGGATCGTGGTAAAAAACAACTAACGTTTCGAGGTCACAAAGGATCCCCTTCATCAGGTAAAACATGTTTTACCTGACGAAGAGGATCCTTTTTCCTGGAAAATGTGCATGTGCTAGGCATGAAAACTGTAACTATATAAAATAACGCTAACAATATATTAAAAAAAATAGATGAATAAAATAATGAGCTTCACAAAAAAGCACATGTGTGATAAATTCAAGTTGAGACCCCTGGGTGTGACTGTCTGCAGAGTATAGATCCAATAAGAATGCTTGGCAACAGTACACAGAAGAAATGTTACCACCATGATCAACAGAGACCTCCACATGCCAAAAAAACTCAGCAAATTGCATCATTTGTCATTCCAAATGACACGTATATTGTCTATGCTTTCAAATGCTGACAATACACAGGTGAAAGATAGATATGTTCCCTTTACAGCAATAATACAATCAGTTTTGCGGTTGAAGGTGCTGCTGAACAGGGCATAGCAGTAACACATCCCAAGAAAATTCTGTCTGTTCTCAAATTTAAAACAATTGTTTTTAGGACCAGCTCATGCTTCTGTGGAATGAATTCCAGTGAAACCCTGCATGGTATTTCAGTGAGAAAGTGCTTAGATGTCCTCATTAGGGATTTTAGTATGTACTGAGCTAATGTCCATTCTGGACAATAGGCATCCAAGAGATGGCTCAATAGCTTCCAGTTGAGTTAAAAAAAAGTTTTGAAGAAATGGTCATGCCCATTTTTACATCTGTTGTAGTGCATTGGCATCCCATTCCTAATGCAGTGTTTTTCAACCTTTTTTGTGCAAAGGCACACTTTTTTCATGATTTGAAAAACGCTGTCCTAATGCATCGGCTGGCTTCACACAACACACAATAACACACTGCAGTGGGTCCCTTTAGTGTGAATGAGTGCTTAAAGCATGTTGCTATACAAGTCCCTCTGGATAGTTACATAGTTAGTCAGGTTGAAAAAAGTGCAACCTACAGAGCTGAGGAAAAAAAAAAAGAAAAACCTAAAACAGAACGCTTTGCTCATAGTTACCCACTGTTGATCCAGAAGAAGGAAAAAAAACAAACCCTATAAAGCATGGTTCTATTTGCTCCAACAGGGGGAAAAAATCCTTCCTGATCCCATAAGGCAAATGCCATGCACAGCTGCTTCAGGTTTTGTTTGCTCCAGTTTTGATAAATTCCCCTCACTGTGTTTTGAGTCCTGGTGCTGTTGGGAACATCATTTCTGCAGTTGTGGCTTGTTGCTGACAATTGAGCCTTTATCCCAATGGGCATTTATGTGATCATATTAATCTTTGTAGTGCTGTTATCTTAATACGGAGATACAAATTATTCTAAAGGAGAAATAATGTATAGAAGAAAGAGAAGTTGGAAAATGTCATGAGACATCCTGGGCTGCTGACTGTAAAAAGCTAAAATTGATACCAACATTTTAAGTGTAATTTTTAAAGTATAACGGTTGTATCTGTGAATGTTTAGAGAAGAGTGTCAAGCAGTTCAGGAGAGATGTTTTAAATCATGAAGGAGTGATTAGTAGAGGTAACCTGCATAAAAATAAGATTTACAATAAGAAAATAGATGCACTGCAGATGAGATAAAAACATCTAACTGTAGCATTCTAGTATTTTACTGCTGATATCTAACATTTAATTTGATATGCTGTATATTATTTGTAGAAAACATACTGGGGGGAATTTATCAAAACTGTAGCAGACAAAATCTGCAGCAGCGGTGCACGGCAACCAAACAGCTTCTCTCTCCAGTTTGTTTAGTTAAGCTTTGAACATGAAAGAGAGAAGCTAATTTGTTGCCATGCACAGCTGCTACAGTTTTGATTCCCTTCACTGTATATTGGTAGGACAGTTCAAATTGTGTTTTTATTACTGAGAGTCTGCACCAAGAAATCCTTCTTGGCTCTCTACAGAGGACATTTTTACTTCCAAGGTGCCTCTGAGTCTTTGGCTCATCTTCATTGTGAACCCATCCAGCAGAATTGGTCCCTGTTGCCTGTCTTGGCTCTGAAAAGCAATGATATTTTTCCAATTACTTGCAATAAAAAATGGAACTCTTGGTCCTCAGCTGTTTTTTGTCCAGGGAAACTTTATCATATTAGAGTCTCATATGTGCTCAACTGCATTTGTATTATAGGAAGGCCACTAAATTGTGAGTCGCATCATATATTTTATCTTGCTGTTCTCCGCTTACTGCATTGGTGCAATCCACTTTGAGCAGAGCAGTTGTCTCATCCATTATATCACTCATCCTCTTCTAAGACCCTTTGAACAGCCTTTTATCTCTGTTTATAACTGGCACCCTGCTCCTGCCTTACAGGAGGTCAGCACTTTGCCTGTGTTCAAACAAATGCTAGAACTGACTCCTTTATCAGTTTGCCAGGAGACAGATAAAGTACATCCTGTGTAAGCCTGGCAATCGCAAGATTTCCAGCTTCAAAAGCCAGAAATTAGCAGATATATCAGAAATCAAAATATATTACTGCTTTCTCTGCTGCGCTGCTAGCTTTACTTTATCATCTTGACATATAATGGATTCTTTTATAAATATTATGTGTATGTATTTGTACCAGTGACCTGATAGCTTTCCTTATTTGTATGAATTTAGGTTTGCTTTTCAGCTTTTGAAAAATGAAATGTTCAATAAACAGGATCTTATTTGTATCTTTTTTTAAAGATAAACTGAGGTTTGAATATTTTCTCGATTTCAACATACTCTTTCAATTTTGTAATTTTAATTAGTGACTCAGCACTGTAAATTATTTTGATAACTTATACATGTTTGAAACTATTAATAGAATTGGAGAAAGATGGCAAAGTAATCCATCTAGTTGTCCATTATAAAAGTGAAATGAAAGCCAGAATGAGCAGAATTCCCTCTATGCCAGGGGTGTCATCACGGGCCGTGTCAGCATTTTGGTTGCCCTCAAAGGGCCGGTTGTATCTGTAAGACTATATAAATCTATCTACTTATCATATTAAATAATTGCCTCTGCATTCCAGTTATTTCTGGTGTTAGTAATAAGTAGCTCTGAAAGTAGAAGTCTAGGAAAAAATAATGGCAATCATTATAATAGAGCGAACTCTCAGGTGGCTGCGCAGGTTCTATGGTGGGCTGTGCGGACTCTCGGGTGGGCTGCGCAGGTCTTTGGTGGCCTGTGCGGACTCTCAGGTGGGCTGCGTGGAGTCTCGGGTGGCTGTGCAAGTTCTATGGTGGGCTGTGTGTGCTCTCAAGTGGCTGTGCAGGTTCTATTGTGGGCTGTGCGCAGGTCTATGCTGGGTTGTGCGGATTCTAAGGTGGCTGTGCGGTCTCAACAGGGGTCCCGATTGGTCTGGGCGGTGTGTATCCACAGGAAGGAGATTTGCTACCGGTGCTTTAAACAGATTCACAAGGAAGCTGCCAGGACTGGGAACTTTGGCAGCCTTCCTGTGAAGCCTCGTCGCCCGTTTACAGTGGCGGCTTTTGTTTAAAAAATTTAAAGCGTCGGTATTTTCACGACAATGAGTACTCATGAAAATGCCCAGTATTGGCATCAATACCAGTATCCTGAGTCAGTATATCCAAAGTGTTCTGTCCTCCTCTCTCCTGCCGACTGCTGAGACAAGGTTGAGAGGGGCAAATGAGGGGTGTGCCACAGCTGCAGGAGAGTTGCAAGGGCAACATGAAATGCCCTGGCAGGCCAAATTTGGCCCATGGGCCTTGTGTTTGACACACGTGCTCCAGGCCCTATAAGGCACCTAAACAGTGGGTAAAGCACACATATGAGGTATACCTTTTAAGCAGAAGAAAAAGCTGTAATGTAATGTGCGTTTATTTATATTATATAGGAGTTCTTAATAACTAGATTGGGATTTATTTTTCACACTTTATTGTGTAGATGTTAGCAGACAGATTTGGATAATATTTTGTGTGACACTTTGGTTCACAGAGCAACACAATTATTTTATTTATCTGATAAAGATTGTCCGTGGTGATTGTATCTGCTAAATACAGGCCAGACACTATTTTAACAATTGGAGTCAGAATATCTTTTGTTTTGTATCATATTGACTAATGTGTCCTATACACATTTTTACTTCTGTCTTACAGACTCATCTTAGCTGCCAATCGAGATGAATTCTATCACAGGCCTGCCAAGCCAGCTGATTTCTGGGGAACCAATAATGAAATTCTTAGTGGTTTGTATCAATATGTCAAAGATTGACCATTAATTTTTTGCTCATTCTTCTGCTCTGCTTCATTTATCGTTGTATTAAACTGTTACTACTTGACTTTCCTTCATCGCTGCAGGTATTAAACTTAAGCTGGCCATTCACCAGTAGAATTGAGTTTGAAAAAAATGTGTTCTCGGAATGTTCACTCAATTCTCTAACAACTTTTAGGGGTCAAAATGGCAACTGTTTTCAACAGTAATGCCGATAAAAATCAAAGGAGCAAGATGGAAAATGTTTCTTGAACAAACAAAATTCTGAAAGTGAATGTGGTTTTCATTCAGGAAACTCCATTCATTGCAAAATCCCATGCTAAAGTGAAATTAAATTTGAAACGACTCAGTCTCAGTCAGCATTATTAAATGTTCAGATGAATCGTTACTATAAACTTTTCTATGGAAACTTTTCTATGGAAATCTGCCACTGTATGTAGTGTTGTGTGTATGCAGTGTTGCATTACTGAATGCCTGTCAACAAATGCTACAAGTTCTTTGTTCTTTTTTTTTTTTTTGAAGGATTGGATATGGAGACTGGGAAGGAAGGAGGAACTTGGCTGGGGATAACAAAAAGAGGAAAGTTTGCAGTGCTGACAAACTATTTGCAACCCAAAATAGATGTGAATGCCAAGGGCAGAGGTAACTCATGTTCGTTATGATTCCTGTAGCACCAATATAAGCATTAGATTATTTGATGAGCACATAAACTAAGGGGGTTATTCACAAAGCTGCTGAAGGCAGCCAAGTGAATAACCCAGCCGAAGTGAAGTGAGCTGACTGCTGTTCGGCTATTCACTCCAGTCTTGTACGGCTGATTTCAGTCGTACGTCGGCTAAAATCAGCCGTACAATGGCTAAAATCAGCCGTACTTTGGCTAAAATCAGCCGTACATCGGCTGCCTTCGGTCAGTCGAACATGCTCTGCATGTTTGGTTGTGCAGAAGTGCAGAAGGAGTTTGACTCAGCCGATCCAACATGTGGATCGGCTGAGCCGAAGCTCCGGCAGCTCTTTTTGCTGCCGTTTGCCCCTATTGGGGGCCATTCTGCTCAGTACCTCCGAGTTACCGAGCAGAATAGAAAATAAGCAAAAAGAGGGGGGGAAAAAACGTTGAAAATTCAGAATAAAAAGTCATTAAAAAAAAATGCCGCACACCGACCCACCGCATGCGACGGACTCCCGCCGCATAATGAAATATCTGACAGATGCCGGCAACAGAAAAACAATTGGGCGGGGCTAGCATTGACAGCTAGCTCGCCCGACTGTTTCCTATTGGCCAGCAACTGCCAGAGTCTTCTAGCAGGTCCCGGGCCAGTGAATAACAACTGGGCGGAGCCGGCCGTGAAGTCACGGCCGCCTCTGCCCAGTTGTTATTGTTTAATGACAGATCAGTGTCCCCAAATGTCATTACAACTGGGCGGAGCAAGCTGTGAGAAGTTTTAACAGTTCTATCTGGAGTTGGTAACCACAGAAGACTGTAAGGTTTAGTTTCAGAGACTGATAAAATAATGTGTCTTTATTTTATAGGCACTCACAGATCTGTGTATAGGCCGTCGTTTTTTGTTTTTTTTCCCCATGCGAATTGTGAATTGAACCCCTTGAACTGTAACAGTTATGTCAATGTATATGTACTGTAGGTGCCTAAGTGTTTCGACATTTTATTTTTGCACTCAGTTAACTAGTTTTGCACCATGGCAGGTGTATTTGATGGTATGTTCATGCAAATTGACCCACACGCTAATTTAGTATTGATTAGAGAATTGTTTTGAATATGTCATATTTAATCCTAATTCTTCCCACTTGTCTTATTTTCCCAGGTCATCTGGTATCAAACTTTTTGACCTCTGATCTAGACAGTTTTTCTTACATGAAGAATATATCTGAAGAGGGACATCTTTACAATGCTTTTAACCTGGTTGCAGCGGACTTTAAGTAAGTCTAAATATGTGCTGTATCTAGAATGCTAGATGGGCCCGGGACCGGCACAGCGGCTGGTAACACTGTAAATGGAGGAGAGATCAGCATTCTCCCACTGCTGATCTCTCCCCCTCTCTCTCTAAAGGCGGAAGCGATGTGTATTACATCACTTCCGCCGTTTAGCTTTAGTTTCTCTGGCTGCTATAGCCAGAGAAGAAGCTGGTGAAGCAGATTTCTGCTTCCTCAGCTTTTTTGGGGGTCCCAATGTGACCCTAGGGGTCTTGGAGACCCCTGATGTCTCCATAAAGAGGACCTGTCATTGTATATTTGTTTGCACATGGGGGGAGGGGGCTTGTTAGCCCTATGTAATAGCAATAAAGTTAAATGTGAAAAATAAAATTTAGTAATAAAGTTAAAAGCCCCCGCATGCACGCAGATATAAACGTAAATACGCGTCAGGTGCGCCTACGTGTGAAAACAAAGATTAGGCCATGCATGTTACATATCACCGTGAACGTGCAATAATTCTAGACCCATCAATCACAGATAACACTAAACTGATGAGCAGTAAAAGCTTTTAAAGCGTCGCCTATGGCCAATTTTCGGCATGGTAGTTTTTTGCGATTTCGTGGGCGCACACAATTTTAAAGCCTCACATGTTTGGTGTCTATTTAACCGACGTCAAGCAAAACAAATGGCAAACGCACTCATTAATTTGTTACCAGCTTTACAGCAAGCTTTAAACAATAATAGCAAAAAGTTTCCCAGCACACTCACAAGCCAGCATGCTGGGAAACTCTGAAGGACCCAGTCCCCTTGCCAATGTATGCGTTTTAGGTGTCCAGCCAACTTTTATTCAATGCAAAAAGCAGATAACAGAGGATCTTCCCATGCAAGAGATATTCCAGCCTAATTCCTGGCTGTTTGTTGTGCTGCTCTCTATTTTTTTTCAGCAAGACAATGTTGCCCAATTTATAGCCTTCCTGCTGTCTGTCTCTCTCCGTCCCCAAACTGGACATTAAGTCTTTTCACACAAACACATATTCAATTCAGATTCACAGGTCTGTTTGTAAGGAAGTTGCCTTTGACTCTCGACAATATCCAACTGTCATTCCCATCAGGTATCAGTGCACAGGTAGCACTGTTTAGCAGGCTTTAGGTCCACTTTAAAGACACTCATTCATTAATATAAAAGAAAACAAAAATCCTCCCAAACCCTCTTTATAGCTGAACGCTGGCCAGTTCTGACTATTTCACAATTTCTGACAACAGTTTCAGGTGGTTTACATCACTATGGCCAAAGTCCATTAGGCAAGAACAGTCAAATGAACTTCCAATCTATCAGGAAGTGTTAAAGGAGAACTATGAGGTGAGTGCTTTTCACTCACCTCATTGTTCTAGCCGACCTGTGACAATGAGACTGTCACAGGTCAAACTACAGCTCGCGGTATACTGAGCCTAGGGTGACGGGAGGACGCTAGTTTGTGTCCTCCCGTTACCCAAAGGTGAACTATGGGGAAAAGCCTTAGTTCTCCTTTAAAGCTTCACCTGTCAGAATGGTTTTGATAGGAGGGTATGGGAGCCTGCTACAGATTTCTTTAAATACCCCTAGGTGTCTACACTTTTTATACAGCAGTTTTGTTTTCTTTTATTTTAAAGACTGATTGCATAGACATGAAATGAGAGTCCACTTCATAAACCTCCTCCTTGGCCAAGCCAAACGTGCATATTTATGACGTTTCTGAAAGACAGACAAGCCTGAGGATAGTGAGATTGTGCCTTAGTTCTTAGTTGCCTGGATACCCCAACCATAAGTGTGTACCTACTGCTAAATCCAGATTCAAGTTGACCATCTTGATCAGGGTGCTTCATGTTACAGCCATAATTATGGCAATGCAGGTGATTTTTGTTGTTGTTTGTCCCTTAGAGTTGGCCCAATTAGATTGTTATCCCTGCTGCCTCGTGCTCTTTATGTGTCTCAGGATCCGCCTGGTTATGTCTGTGTGTAGGCATTGAAATAAGTTTGATCGAACAGATAGCAAGAAGTTGTTAGTGAGTCTGCTTTAGAGATTATTATTAGCATCTCTTGTTCCTTCTGTTCTGAAACGGCCCTGTATCTCCTCTTCCTTATAGGTCTTTCCTACTCCTTTTATCTTGGAGGAGTGTCCCCCCCCCCCCCCACACAATACAAATAAAAAAGGTTTCCCGCGTTGGCAAATTACATATGACATAGCTGTCACGTGTAAAATCTAAAACTATACCAAGTAAGATTGGGTAGATTAAGGGGACAATTTTACAAATACCTGGACATGGATATATATATACACTGGAATTAAGGTACATCTTTATGCTAATGTGTTTTCAAGAGCTTTCTGGTAGAGGGATGGGTTCCTCTTCATTAGAAATCAGCTATTTCTTGCTCTAAAAATGATGGCTTATAGTTCTATGTGGCGTAAAAGCTGCTTATAAAGTGTAAGCAGCTCAGCTTCACATTGCCTCTACTACTAGACTACTAGAAGCATTGATATCATTAGAGACGGCACATAATCTATTTTTGTTTGTTTTATTTTTGGTTAGACAGGCAGATTATTATCAGTGAGAGACGAGAATCAGCAGGAAGCAAGGTTTTCTTTGGAGATGAGCCCCAGTATGGTTGCCTCCATGCACATTTAAATTTAAAAACCAAATATAGAAAGAAAAATGTTACAACTAATGTATACTTTGATAAAATGATTTACCTTTAGATAAGTATATTTAAACATACTGAAATTCCATATCTCCTCCCTAATAAATAAATTAGCTGACATAAATCAATGAATGAGATAGATACATAAATACCATGTATAAAAATTGCTGGGGACGAGCAGATTCGCGTCTAGGTGAGTCCCTCCACTCCGCCAGGAGAAGAGAAAAGGGATAACTCAGGGGATGTATGGAAGAGGAGGCATCTCTACCTGTCCTTGTGCGACCTATAAGATTGAATTATAAACCCGGGCTTGCCTATATATAACTTCAATAATTACAATGTATTGCACCTAGCATTGCAAAGCCACCTAAAGATCTATAGGATACACTGGAACGGCTTCTCTGAGCCTTACTGAATCAGTGATATGATGTATCCAAACTAAGTTCGATGCAATTGGCCTTCGCAATAGGTACAATTGTATCCATAAACAGCAACCACATCCATCAATGAACAATCCCCCTGGGATCTGAGGCGACCCTTGACCCCTAGTACCCATTAATGATGGCCCCTAAGGGCCATCCAAAAACCAAATGTGACTGTGCCGTTGTGAGATGAGTCAATGTTATTTTTAATGTCTCCATTCTTGTGTAGTTAGTTCATAATATGAAATTGATGTTCAACAAATACCCAAGATGTAAAATGAGTGATTGGATATACTGAACCCTATTGTGTGCTATTGCTTAGCTTAATATAATGTATATTCTTTATGTATATCTGATTGCCCATGTAGTATATCATTGTTTCAAACAATAATTAAATTGAGCTTATATACATGTTAATATTGTAATTTCATAAACGCATCATTGTTGTTAGTGGAGATCCCTGGAAAATGGGTGTCTTCCACCCGGATTATACAAATAAGTAAAAGAAAAATGTAGGGATCAGCACTAGGTCCGGCCATAGAGGTTTGGATCAGGAGATGGTCGTCGTAAGTCCTGTGGGTACCTTTTTTAGTTTTCAAAAGACCTTGCAAGAGTTAACAGAAGATGTAATGATATCAGGAAGCCAGGGTATAGAAGCAATCCTTTAGCTTGAAGTAATTGGCAGTCTCTGTGTAAAGTAGTCACGTATAGTTTGTATGTCAGTCTCTAAGTTCAGTTTTGCTTGATGAGCTGACTTCACTCTTCAGAGCCGGGGGGAGGTGTGAGAACAATCAACTTTATTGCCAGATATTTTTAATGTCATTATTTGACCTTTATTACAGTCAATTTAAAAAGAATTACCAACAGCAGAAATTCTTCATATCTGTGCAGAAGCAGGCACTGCATATGGTATGCCAATATCCTTGCAAAAGATAACTTGCTTTTAAGATGTGATAGATTGTTCTGATCTTTAGCTGGGTAACAATTAATACACAGGCAGCACACTGATGAAAGTTGCTCATGGAACAATACTACTTCCATTGTTTATTGTGGCGTGACAGTGTTTGTGTGGGCGAGACACAGAGTACAGATTGATATATAAGGAGTCTGTATGGGCCCTAGGGAGGGGTAGCTTTGAAAATGAAGTCGCTGGATTGCTATTTGATACATGATCATAGCTGAACATAATTCTATTTTGATATGATCAGGATGCCTTCTCAATAAATACCGCGAACAATGCAGTGCAAAGCAGCATTTGACTGATGTAATTAAACAACATGATGTAATTAAACAACATGTATACCAAAATTGCTAGTTGAAGCTATTAGAAAACTTCACAAGGAGCTTTATGAAGGAGCCATTGGAAATCCGCACAAATATATGGTGCATGCTAATATATTTCAAAGGTTTGACACCACCAGATACCAAAGATGTTTATGATCCTGGCAGGAGATCTATTTCTATTAAACGCTGTCTCCCTGGTCGTTTTCCTCATGGGAGTAAAATAGCTTATTACTAGGAGCAGCCAGCTGCTCAGTAAACACAAATGCTTAATACTTCAAATTCTGCATAAATGTTGGATTTCTGACATGAATTGATGGCCCCTTTTTATAGATATGATGGGGCACAATTCATCTCATCCTCTCTTTCTCTTAGTAGTTGTAGTGATTAAAGCTGAACTCTGTGATTTTAATAAAAAATAACCCTTCAGTGACCATTAACCCCCCCACCGCAGGGGTTAAATGCTTGTTAAGTCAAGGAATAGAGGAATAAGCTGTAATTCCTAACTTATTGCTCGCTCTGGCAGGCTTCCATTACGCTATATGACTGGTATCGAAGCCTTTTCTCTTCGGTGCTCCGGATGGTGCCTGCACTCTGTCGTCATTTGGTACAATGCCGAAGGAGCA